CCAGTGGTGCTTTGGAAAGGCTGTGGATGGGTTTTGGTCTGTTGAGCTCTCAGGGACGTGCAGAGAGCGGAGCGTTGCTCGGCTCAGGGTGGAACTTGGTGTTGTGCCTCCAGAGGGTCAACTCTCACCCTCTTTTCCTGTTTTCCTCATGTCTCAACCACCTCTGGCACACTCATTCCAGATAACTCTCCCAAAACACGAAGTGATACACCACGGCCACACCAGGATGAGAGCTGGAAGTGCTGGAGCTCAGTTCTCCCCGGCAGTCCTGCTCTCAGCTCCCTGGCTGACATTGCCTTCCCGTGCAGGCACGTTTTTCCCTGCCATTGTCCGCCTATCTCAGTTCTTTGACTCCTGAGATATCATTTTACCTGTACTTTTCCATCCCAGGTGAGGACAAACGTGGTGTGATGCAGAGCTAGGAACGAGATGCCAAGAGTTTCAAACGTGCCACCTAGTGGTATGAGCTCGGAGCACTCAAAGTAGAGGAAATCCCCCCCAAAATCCACCCTCCTCCAAATACTCGTTATTTCTGAAGTGCTCCTGTGTTTTTGGGCAGAAAATGAGTGTTTATGGCCTCTGCTACCCCGTTGGGTTTTCTCAGCTTTGGGGAACTGAGCTGTTCAAGGATTTCTTAATCAGAAGGAGGGGAACAGGGAGTTTTTTAGTCTGTTATTTAAAGTATATGCTGAGAGGTCTGTAGCTTCATACCAAGAAAACAGAGTTCACGCTGTTACTGCCTCCCGTTGCAGGAGCTGAATCAACTTTGCAAACAAAGTAAATCTTAATTTAAAACACCCTTTATTTGGGGAGGAGGGGAGAGGGAGGTAACAACAATAATGTGCTTGTCTGTAGCCGTGCAACAATTCATCAGCAGCGCCCTGTCATGAGATGCCCTGTGTTTGTGGATCCGTACTGGGGCATATTCCACCCCAGCAAATAATCTGAAGTACTTCCAGCTTCCTCCCAGCTAAAGAACAGAGCACTGCAATTGCAAAAGGCTCCAAAAAAAACCTTTCTAAAAACCTACATTCATCACCAAGATAAGAATAGGCCTAACAATGAGGAGTGTTAAAAGGCATGAGGTTTGTACCACAATTTGGCATGTTGCATGCAGTGAATTACAGCCTGAATTAAATCTGTCTTGGGTGTTTGTCTTTGCTGTTATCTTCAGCTCGGGCTCTGGCACGGAATTAAAGTTGCTCAGGTTGATGTTTATGTGTGCTTGCTGTTCCTGGGATTTTTACCTAGAGGTCATTGTGTCCTTTTCCTCTCATTACCAAGAAACTTGTTTGCTGTTTGCATTGGGTTATGTGATCCATCTGTTGTAGCTACCAGAGTAAGTCAGGAGAGCAGTTCCGTCCTGCCTCGCGTGCCCCTCACGTCATCCTTTCCATGCCTGGGTCAGAATTCAACCATTCCTCTTTGCTTCTACAGCTCCAGAATTCATTTGTGAATGCAGCTTGTGTGCAGGCCCATGAGATGAAATAAAAGAGATTGCCAACTCCAGGATGACAAACTTAAAATAATATGGCATGTAGGTGCCTGTAGAATGAACAAGAAGAGTTAAACATCTAAGAATTGCCAGTGAGCAAAGTAGGAAGAAAAGAAGTGTGGCAGTATTAAATGCTGTCCTAACTTGGAGTCTGCTTACACAGCTTGGATAAGGCATAGAAAGAGGATTAAGAAAAGAAATTGAAACCCAGACTTCCAAATGCCCAGAGAGGACCTTTTCTTGTCGGGTAAGGGTGAAGCTGCTCTTGCATATTGTCTCATTCTGAATCTTTTATGTGTTTCGTGAGCAGCGGCGTGTTTCAGAAGTGGGGGTGAGAGGGCACCACTCAGCTTCTCGTAAATGTGTAGTATCAAAATTACAGCCCAGTGCCAGGCTGTGGAGATAGGAGGAAAAAGCAGAATATCTTAAGTCTCCTACCTCCAAGGTAAGAGACTTCACAAAGGGATGATGCAGAAGGATGAGTAGCATCTCTTTCCCAAAGAAGACTGTGGCGTAGTGCTTTGTGCTGGATTGTGGAGCCCTCTGGAAGGCTGGGCAGAAGTATCTACAAGGTTGATCCTATAATAATTTAATCTTAAGCAAGAGGAGGTTTAGTTTGCATCTGGTGTAGTCCTTGAGGTGCCTCTGTGTGGTAGCACAAAATGGGACATGGCCAAGAGGAAAAAGCCTTGGAGTTATTGATGAAGAGCTGTGCAAAGTGCAGGTACTAATCTAGTGGAGACTGATTTATTTATTTGGATGTAGACCCCTAAATAACCCTGAAGTGAGTGGTTTTGTCTCACTGGCTGTGTCTGTTCTGGCTGTACCACTTAGGGAGCCACACTGTCCTTCCAGCCCATGTCAGGCATGGATGTGTTCAGGCCAGGCAGGTTCCCTGCACCAACACAGCATGAAGACCACCATAAGATGTTACTTATAATATTCCATTTTTGTTTAGTGGGGGGTTTTTGTAGGTTGGTTGGGGTTTTTTTTTGTGGTGGTTTTCATTTTGAAGCTCCTGATGCTGCAGTTACCAATTTATTGGTTTTATTCTGAGTACAAGAGCTTGAGTTTTAGGAACTGGTCACATACCCAGCTTTTGGTCCTAAGGGCTAAATTTGAGTTTGGTGTGACTTGACACTCTGGTGGTCCTGGAAAGTGCAGATCTTGCTGGAGCAGTGCCAGAAGCCTGCATGGGGACATGGGAACCAAACCTGGGATGGCCTTACCTGTGCTGTAGGATCCTCACTCATTCTGGAGCGATCCATCCCTGCAAAAATGCTGGGCTGTGCTCCTTCCTAACAGTGACCACGGGAATAATGAGAAAGCTGTGTTATTTATTCGACAGAGTGGACGTACCTGGCAGGAAATATTTGTTTGTATTAGTGGGAAGCAGCATTTGACTTTATGACGGCAATGCAGCTCTTTTATTAGTAAAACTTAATGTGTAACAGGATAATTCCGTTGCACCTACTACTATACTGGCATGATTTTGTACAAAATAAGTTTCTTGTTTCCTTGAAGGCCTTACATAAGCCCTAAAACTGGGAATGGATCCAGCGTGTTCGATCACAATAAAGGAGCTGCTTCAGAGCAGGCTCTTCTTTGGAAATAGCCGTAAACAGGTTTATATATAGGCACTGCTATTATACACAAAACTTGCTGAAGAAACGTTTCCCAAGATCTCGTGGTTTTACTGTATGCCATGGGGACTCTGCTCAGGCTAATCCGTGAGCAGACCTGCTGTAGGAATTCAAGGCAAGGTTTAAAACCCAAGAACGTCTCTCAAATCCCTGTGTGTGCTGAAAGGGCCGGGTGTTGAGTGGCTGTTTGCTGTAAAAAAAAAAAAAAAAAGGCATTTGATAAAAAGGCTCGGAAACTTGGGCTGGCATCCTACGTATGCAAATGCGGGTGCTGTCCACGTTATATTTGGATTTCAGGGTTTTTTCAGATCCATTTCAAGGCGATGGGTAGCAGCCTTATGTGGTTTGATCGCTCGCTTTCATCACCCATGCCCGATTATTATACATGAGATCCATCAGCCCCCTCGCAGCAACAGTTCCTGCAGCTGAGCATCAGCGCTGTTGGGAACAATAAAGGGCTGGCATTTGGGAGTTTCTTTCCCTTCTTAACTGGGCAGGACCCAAAATTACTCCCTTGCAGAGCTCACCAATCAGGTTTGTGACTTGAACAGGTACATTTCTGTCTCAGAAGCCTGAGGATGTGGGATCTGGGGAGATTTGTTGCCAGTTTGCATTCAGCATCGTTGGTTGTGTGCTCTGGTGGAGTTTCGGATAGGTGCAGGACAGAACATGGGAAGACTCCTGCCTTTGTGTGATTGATTTTTAAGGATAATTTGCCATTTTGTTCCTTGCCTCCTTCCTAATGAGCTGAATTGTTAAAATATGTTAATGTAAGGAGACACACGAGAAAGGGTGAAGCAATCTACTGACACGTTGGATAATTAGATCATCTCCTGCGCAGGAAAAAAAGTCAAGTACGAAACAGGAACAAGAAGCACCTCCCTCCCCCCTTGGAGGCACCAGGTCTGGCTCTTTCTGCATGCAGAAGCAGGTTAGACAATTAGATCTTTAGTATTAATTAATTTTTGTGAAATTCCTGAAGATGCAGAGCGTCGTATATAGTAACTGTCTTGTATTTGTTGTTTATTTTTTGGGAGAAGTTGGGAGCCTTGTTTTCGCAGGGCTGAATTCGTGAGCTGCGTAATCGGTGATGAAACAAAAAAATGTCTGTTGCTGGACTGAGTTTGTGAATGCTGTAGTGGTTAATCAGGTCTTCCCAGGAAAACAGTTGTGAGTTTTTGTCCTGAATAGGCATTCGTTCAAGGGAATTCTGTAAAGAGGCACAGGACATTGTGGGCTGCTTTTCTGCTGGTAGTTGGTGCTTTGGCAAAGCAGTGCTTTGTTTTTCTTATAAGATTTATTTATTTGAAATAATAATTGGCTAATAATCACTAAGATCTCAGCCCGGTGTGAAGAGATGCCTGCAGGGTGGCTGTGACAGTACTCCGCCTTTACTCACAGGAGTAAGCCCTCTTTGTGGGTTAAGTTTACTTGTTTGATAAACATAACACTTCGCTTTTGTTCTCTTAATCACTTCCTTCGAAGAGTTAACTTCCTAAGCAGCCACAGATTAGTTCTCTCAGTTGTTTTAATTATTTTTCTTGTCACGCACAGTGAAGGTCTCGTGTTTGTGAAATGTCTTCTTTTATTTTTGTCCCCCCTTCCATGGCAGCCTCGGTGACGCTGGCACTGAGAACCCAGCTGAAACACGCTCCCTCTGCGCTCCTGGCATTTATTTTTACCCTTATTTTAAACCAAATCTCACTTTTTTTGAATGGGAGTGCTGCAGAACATAACACTTTTCCTCTCAGGGTGACCCAAGTGCTCCAGAATGTTGTATTCCCGTAAGGGGTACGCGAGAGGCTGTAGCGGAGGCTTCCACGTGCTTGCTGCTGAGTAATTTCCTTTTGTATTGCTGACAGGTGACTCAAAGCAGGAGGGAGCAGATGGCAGCGTCGTTAGCTGGTGGCCACAGCCTTCCCAGATGAGTTTTGGAATTTCCATCAAAGTCGGGATTAGGCTCAGGATATGCCGGTGGCACAGAGCACGCCGGGGGAGCGTGGAAGAAGAGGAAATCATTCATAGCGACTCATCTCGTGGTTGGGTGAGTCAGGGGTCTGCTGTTGGTGGTCAGAAAGGCACGTGGCTGACGACACCGTCTTTGTGTGCTCTGCAGGATGCAAACTGTCTCCAAAAATTAATTCTCCCTGCTTGATTTGTCCAGTAAGTTATTTCCAGAAAGGAGTTACTGTATTTTCTGGAATGACTGTTGTGAAATTCCTTCTCTCTCTCTCCTTTTTTTTTTTTTTTTTTAAATACAGTGGGCAAGTGTTCAGCTGGTGATTTATCAACAAAGTATTTTACAGGATCATAGTTAAAAGTTCATCTTAAAAAAAAAAAAAAAAAAATCATACCCTGTGCAATAGGGAAAGTAAAAGCATCTCAGTTTCCAAGTGATGAAGGAATAACCGAAAGAGCTAGTTCTTGGAATAGTAGCTCCATTGGCACTCGTTGGTGATTTCCTGTGCATTTGCTGCAAGAGTCGCTCTGTGATGTGAGTAGGTGGTACTAAAGGGTTATTACGAAACCAGTTTCCAACCAGACGTTTTGAGTCATGGATGGGGAACAGGGATAGCAGCTTCGGAGCTCTCTCTTTGTTCAAGCAGTGCTCCTGAAATGCACACGCAGGGATGATCTGTGCTTGCACGGGAACGAGGCAGACCAGGGATGGGTCTGGGATCACGTGAAGCGCGCTCCTTCGTGCCTCTCCATCCCGGGGTTGGGAAGTGGGAGACGTGGGCTGCGAGCCGGAAGCAGCGTGCAAGGTGCACACGGAGCAGTTTCCCCGACTGTCTCTCTTTCAATTGTAAGTATTTTCTCATGGCTTTTCCCAGACGTGGGAGACAAAATGGAGTTGCGTCAGGACGGATGCCTGTGCCAGAATGAGGTGGTGGTTTGGAGTGCCTTGGTTCTGTTCTGGAAGCAGATGGGCTGCCACTGGCAGGAGACAGTTGGCTTCTCCATCAGGAAAAAAAAAAAAAAAGGAGAAAAAAAAAAAAGAAAAGGGGTGTTTAAGGGAATTGGTCTGGCTCCTAAACCGAAGGAATTGTTGACCCACTGACTCAGTTCTGAAGCATTAGGGAAGCAGTCTTCCTGTGGTTTCTTTTGTTGGTGGCAGATTCAGAGCCCGGCTGTGAGCGTTCGGGTGTGAGGAGCAGAGGAGAGACAGTTCTGGTACCTGCTGCTGTGGGATTTATTTGGTGCCAGGGAGGAGCTGAGGTGCTGATGGCTGAGCAACACCTGAACTTTATTTCTGAGGCTTCTCCCAGTAATGCATTGGTAAGTTTATGTGCTTATTTTCAGTGCTTAGATGGTATCTTGCTAAATGTGATTGAGGGAAAGCTCTTCAGCAGCTCTTGGAAGAGGTGTGTTCGTTTTGTTCACTGGAGCAGCTTTTACAGAAAGCAGTGGCTGCCCAGCCACAGTTGAGGAGTCTCTAAATAAGGGGGAAACTTTCTGCATCAAGGTGACAGAAACAATTTGAAACTGCTGTTTCCTCCCGCCTTTAACCTACAGACAGACCTCTGCTGACATTGATACTGAGCAAAGGGGATGGGCCAGTGCATCACCCTGGACTCAAGGCTGAGCTGTAATTTCCCTGTTACACTGAACCAACAAGGCTTCAGTCTTCTTGAATTTCACATGAAAATCAGATGTTCATCCCTGGAATTTAATCTAATGATACTTTTCCTAAGATATGCCTAGAATAGAAACGATGCTATTTTTAAGTTACTCTGCAAATGCCAAGAAAAAAAGATATCAATTAGTGGTTTCTCAAAGAAACCCCTAAGTCATTAACATACTATTGGCTGGAAGGAATCATGTTGGCTGACAGAGCTGGGTCTGGAAGTCTTGGTCCCTGAATCTGCTGTCTATTCTGTCACTGGAGTTGGGAGGAATTTTTTGGAGGGGGAGCTTCTTGGGCAAGTCATTATTTATTTTTAGTTGTCAATGGAATGAAGGGAGTGATATTTTGAGCTTCCCTTCAGTGCTTTACCAGCACTGTTACTGTGTTTTCCCTTCAGAGAAGAGGCTGATAGGGGATATTGTAGCTCATGGATTTCCAGAACATTGTTTGGAATGCACAGATTATTAGAAAATGGGGAAAGCGGAATAGTGATTATTGAATTTATTGTGCTCTGTGCATGGGTTCTCCAAACACCAGCGGTAGGAATTGCTGGTGCTGTGTCCTAACCATCCTCCATGAAGGGAAGACTCCACTGCTGCTGTTGCTCCCTGGGTGGGTGACACCAGGGTGTCTTCCCTTCCCAAACCCAGTTGGGGTGGTAGCTGTAGCGAGGCACCCATGGATATTTTTTTCCCTGTTTTCCAAAACAGGAGCAGAGGAGGCCGTTCACCACACACCCCTGTGGAATGGCAAATAAACCCAATGGTTTAATTAAAAAAAAAAAAAAAAAGAGAGAAAAAGGAAGGTGTAGCATTGTACTGGGTTTCCTTTCCTTTCCTTAAGTGCTTCCTTTGGATCTTGGGAGAAGAGCTCAAGAGCCAGGGAGCAGTTGTACCAAAAGGCGTGGGAGGCCGGGTCAGGGAAGAGTCACTTGGTTGTTATGTGGGTGTGAAAAGCCTCTGAAAAGGAAAGGGTGGAGGGAAATATTTTACTTGAATTAAACAAATAGAGGAGAACGTTATATGAATTACATATTCAGAGATAGATTTTTGCCAAGTATTTTTGTGAATTAACTGCATATCTCCTGAAAATCATTTATTTAACCGTAACCTTATCAGAGTGTTCTCAGGAGGGAATTTTTTTTTTCTTTAAGCTAAAAAAAAAAAATTTAAAAAAAATCATTGTTTTCTTATCACTTCAGATGAAAAGAAAGGAAGTTGCAAATTTTTATTGCCTCTAAATTGTTAACTGTTAAACCTGTATTGAAGCAGTGGATCAGATTTCCTCAGGCTCACAGGGGAGCAGTTTCATTTGCTGAGAAATCCCAAGCAGGCCCTGTTGGAGGAGAAGGAGCCTTAGATCTTGACCTCCTTGTTGTGTATCCACCTGTGGGACAGGGAAACTGCTGCTCTTGAAAATCACCTGTTTTGGGGAACAGGCTGTTGCCATTGATGCAGTGCACAGGAGTGGTTGTACCCAAAATGATTGAAAAAATCATAGTTTGAAACCTGATTTTGTTTTTTTGCTTAGAATCGTAGAATATGGACAAGTATGCAGTATCTCCATTTATTTGTTTTTAAAATAGCACCTACTAATATTGAACTAGACTAAATTATATGTTGTGAAGGTGACATTTTTCCATGCCTTTTGTTATTATCTTGAGCCAAAAAAAAAAGGCAGCACGTGGAGGCAGTTTTAACATAATTTTGTTGCAGAAGCAGAGTATTGTTTATTACATTAGTTAGTGAAAGTCTTGATTTTTTTTTTCAAATGAAGCAAACAAACAAAAATCAACAACAGTAACAAGAAGTCTTTATTTTATATAGCAGCTTTTGAAACACAAGCCACAAATTTCATGTAAGGAAAAACTTAACACAGTCCAAAATTGGATGCACAGGTTTGTTGTGTGATGTCTCGTACTAAACCAACACGGCACTTGACGTTTTGGGTCTGAGCAGTGTTTTGATAGCGTTGATTTGTACTGATATCTGAGGGATTCCCTTGTGGGAGTTCACAGGCAGTTGTTTGTTTTGTAAATCTTTTCAGGTTTATTTTTTTATGGCCCGTAGCTATCCGAGTGCAGAGCTTGCAGCTGAAGTTTGCGTGGGAAATGGCGAGCTCAAAATTGGACCTGGAAGGAGAGGAGCGAGGAGCGCTTCCTCTTCCATCGCTCCACTGGAGTGGTAATCAGAGAATCCCAGAGTGGTTTGGGTTGGAAGGGACCTTAAAGCCCATCCAGTTCCAACGCCTTGCCATGGACAGGGACATCTTCCACTAGACCAGGTTGCTCAGAGCTCCATCCAACCTTGAACTCTTGCAGGGATGGGGCATCTGGAACGGGATGAATGTCTGCAGCCAAACTGGGACACCTCTAGGCAGTGCTGCCCATCCCATGCTGGGACTTCAAGGATTCCCTGATGCAGTAAATGGACATTAGCAGGCAGTTTTCACTTCTAACCAAGTTTGGGCACCTGGGTTGTATCTTTAAGAACCCAGGCGGCTGCAGAAATTCCCTGCATGACCTGTTGTTACAGGCTCGGGTGAGAGTGTATGTGCAGTTCTATTGCCAAAATACGAGGTTGGCAGAAGTGAGTCATAACTGGGAAGATCTCAGCTTTGCTCTTTGATTTGCTTTTATCCACCAAATATGAAAATACTTCCAAGAATACGGGTAGGAATATGCTGCTCTCCTGTTAGGGCAGAGCTCTCACTGGCTCTTAGGTGTGTTTGCATAACTCATAGGATGTATTTTTGACGATTTAGTATAAAAGGAGCTATGTATACATTTGATCTCATCTTCAGTGCAGTAGGCATGAGCAGTTCCTGGAGAAGAGACCAGAATATAGGGCTCTACCCCCTTCTCCTGGGAGTCTCTTTCCCATGGAGTCATACTTGCCCTCCAGGGCTTTCTCATTATGGCTCTGTGAGTTTTGAATTCCTCTGTGAGCTGGCCCAGCTCCAGGGGGAGGGCAGAAAGCAGCCTCAGCCCATGCTCTGCTTCAGGTCTCCTGGTTCAAGGACTTTGTAGGAGGTGGGATCTGCAGGAGGAAAAAGTGCCCAGCCCTGGGAAAAATGCCCAACTTCCCAGGTGAGCTCTTACCCATGGGGTTACCGTTTAGAGGTGACAGTATTGTCTTTTGTGGACATGGTTTTAGGTTGCAGTGGTTGCTGGATGTCGTTTTGCCGTTGATATTTTAGTGTGAGCAGAGTGTACCTGCTCTGCAGGTTTCACATGTGGTTTCAGGGTCATCTTCTTCCTTGGTCACCGCTGATGACCACGTGGCCTTGGGGTGAGTCAGCTCAGTTTTGCTGATCTGGTTTGCAAAAGAGAATTTTTCTTTTCTGTTTCTTTTCTTTTGAGAAGTGAGAACTGCTCCATCTCATGGTTTGGCTGCTAGTGCTGATGGGGAGGTAGC